CATGCCCAGTTCAGAGTGGCGTAAACAGAGAGGTGGCCAACCCTTGACTTGGCAGAGGAGTATGAAAGAGATCACGAAACGCTTGAGTGATGGCGGTGCTACTCGCCTTCCAGGATGAAGACCGCGTGATCCTCACTGTGTCTGGTTGGAGACACTGCAAGATATTGCTGCCAACCGATGTCAGTGGCGTTCTTGTTGTCAGTTTCTGTCCAGATTGCCTGAGTGAATGTCTGGAGGTGTAGGCACCTCGGAATGATTGTGTTAAGCTAGCACTAAGTCCCTCCCCCATCCACCTTTATTCTTTTCTTTACAATAAGGCTTTCAAATAGTCATGGGTGTACGGCAGTGAATCATTGGTGTTGAGCACTGATGTCATGCTGTCGTTGATGATGATGATGATGACCCATCTTTTGACGTAATAGCCCACATTCTTGTGCCACAATGCTTCATCTACCAATCCATCTTTCCGGCCGCTCCGTTTCAAGCTTGGCCTTTGGGCACTCCCAGTCATGGGGCTATTCGATTCTTGGTTCTCCCGAATTACAACTCGAGATAGTTCAGTGTTTAAGGCGCCAGCTTATGGACCGTAAATTCCGTGGTTCGAACCCAACCTCAGGCTTGGGCAATCTGCCAGTATCCCAGCCCTCGTCTTACCTTCCGTTGGCACGGCAGCTAGGCACCGAACTAAACGATCACAACTACAGACTTTCGGTGGATAACATCACACCTTCTTTCCGGCGATAATTATTCGGCTGTGTGATATGAGCCTTACTCATCATGTTAGTCACTCGTCTTAGACTATTCGTTCGTCTCGAATGCTAAGCTGGTCAGGATATAAGGAAATCATCTCTCAGTTCAAAGCAGATCTTAGGCGCTTTTGTTACTCACCGTAGTCTTGTTTAAATGTTCTCTGAAGAGAGTTTGGCTGCAAACTGAGACAGTGGAAAAATAACGTTGAGATTACTCGAAACTATGACAGCTTCTGGTGAGCATCCGTCTAAAGTTGTCATATCGCTTCTTTTAAGAGGGATATTAGGGTGCTTTGCAAGGTGAGATGGAAACGAGGTCCTAGATGAGAGGTGTCCTTCAGGCCACCGAGGGATTTTGAAACATGCATCGAATCTTGTCGGGGTGAATAAGAGAATTCTGTGCGAGTTCCCCCCTATGTGATCTAACGTACACTTGGTAGAAAATCACGAATTACGAAAAAACCAACGTTTCCACAGACTTCCGCGACATTCCACAGTTTTTCACGATGAATGATGAATTCTAAACGTTGGCCTTATCGGGAGAGTGCAAACTGCTTCATTCCCGCACGTCCTCGGAAAAATGACTCAATCTCTGACCATAGCATCCATCCTCGTCCGTCCACGTGGACAAAGCGCAACATCCATAGATTCCACCGATTGCCTCTTTCCGTATCGTGTCAAACACGGTTGAATTGGATCCCAGTTTTTTTTTATTGTTCCGTGACATTATTGTATGCTTCCATAGACTTACTTCGAATCTGCAGTTCGCTAGTGAGTACAACAGTCATGAAGAGCACTGATAACTGTGAAGAAGTACTTCACTCGTTATATAACCTCAGTACACTACTCATAAGCTTGCTGAAAATCCTTCGGCAGCCCACGATCGGTTTTGCCCTTCTTTGGGCTCATCAGGTAGGCGAAGTCCACGAGGTTCTGTCAACCTTACATCCCACTTGAAACCGGGCGAGTCTGTCGCAAAACCAAATTTGTTTGAAAATGGGTGTATTTCGCTAATTTCGTGCAATTTGGTTTCAAGTAGAACATAAGGTTGACGGAAACTCTGGGACCGTGCCCCAAGAAGGGCGAAACCGGTCGTGGGCTGTCGACTATACATGTATCGCGATATCTCCAGTATTGTAGCAACTGAAACCTGAGGCGGTCTTTTTGCAGCACATTCACGCTTTCTAATGCCGACGCATTTTTTCTCTGCTACCCCTCTTTTGATACTTGTAGACGTCACAGCGAATGACCCATATCCCCGTTTTGCGTTCTGACACAGTATCATTGGTTGACCGATCTCTAAGTGTCCGTAGAGGGAATCAGTTGAAGAAATGGTAGATTTCATTTGGATTTTCGTTGATTGTATCCACTTACTCAAGTGTTGTTCGGTCTGGAATTGAGGGCAACTGTCGGTCTCGCAATCGAAGCTAGACATGGTGCTTTGAATTTCACAGGTACATGTGTGCTTGTATGTTTATTTGAGTGGTAGTTGCCGCATTTTTTCATGCCCTCAGTTGGTTAACTCATATTGTTTGGCTTCTTATGCGTGCATTGGCGCGGGTGAACTTGTACGAACGCCATCACCCGTAAGCGGTTCTCATCCACACTCTACCTTCGCTGCCTTACTGTGTATCATTACTGACGCGACTGTTATTTTACTATTATTAATTATTATTGTCGGTTTGCTATTGTCAGACCGCACCGGGAGCCGGACGCAGCAAGGCGAGTGCGAAGAAGGCCAATGCCGCCACAGCTTCAGCTATCTCCAGACCTCCATTACCTGGACCCAATTCGGATCCTTTTGCAATGAATATTCGCATGCCAACACAACAGCAACCTTTGCGACAGAAACTTTCCACCTGGAACATGTGTCCTGCAAGCATGACGGCGAATTTCCCTTCAGGTATGACCTCTCCACCACTGTCGTTACCAATCGGTGCCGACGGTCGTACCGGATGCATCTCTCCCGCTTCCTTCTCCTCTCCATCCGGTGGCGTGGTGATGCGACCCAGTTCAGGGCCTCCGGTGAATTCTATGTTTGCCGGAATGCCTCACGCCCCATTGTCCTCGGGTCCGGTTGATTCTACTATTCGCTCAACTGCTTCTCCTCGTCAATACCCTGCAGGTCAGGGTGTTCCCGTGCAGCAACAGCAACACTATGCTGCTCCAGCCAATCCTGGTTCGACTCCTCCCACTGGTCCACTGTATTTCTCAAATCAACCGAACCATCCTTCTCAGACTGCTAATCTCGCGACCTCCGCTTGTACTACTGCAGCTGCACAACAGCAAATGCAGTCACAACTAACCAACTACCCACCAACCACCCGCATCTCATCCTCGCTGCATTTTCAGTCACAGTCAGCATCGGGACCCCAGCAGTTACCAGCAGCTTCCAACCGTATGCCCACACATCCACCGAACAACTCAGCCGGTAGAGGCTTCACAGGTCAGCAACACGGGTCTGAACCGATTTCCACGGACAAGCTCTCCGCACCGCCTTACTCGAGCCCCGGTCCTAATGCAACCGCACCTGGTGTGGTTCCTTCCGTCAGTTTACCGGGAGGTATGTCTTCATTACCATAACTCGTGTGCTCACTGTATGACATCATCCTCCCATGCTGTTCAGCAGTCGCGTTCTGTTTCGCCACAGACCCTATACTCTGTTCCGCGTCAGTCATGTGTTCCAATTCGTGGTCAAGTGGCTATTCGCTTGAAGTTCAGCAAGACCAGCCCGACTAGCAGTGCATTTTTCTGAGAGATAGTTTCTTTAGAGAAGGAGGGCAGTTGAATGCCAGAAAAAGTACTGTTGTACGATTGTTGGATATTTTGAGCATTCTATAGGGTTGACGTAAAAAAAATTCCATCACCTGTCAATTGAATCCGCCGCCATTTGCCTATGTACGAGTTGTTTCGTTTCTGCGAGGAAGCATTGTGGTATCCTCGAGGTCGTTGACCAATCTCACCTTTACGATTACTTTGAACCAACTGTTTCTTCACCTATTAAATGCACCGGCAATCGAACAATTTACACCATGAGTTTGGAGCACAGGACAAACTGTGCCGTGTCTACCAGGAATAGGCTCTCCATTGCTTTTCCGGTGACGGATTTTTTAAAATCGTTTTTTGCTCATCTCACAATATCTCTAGTGGATTCGGTCCAGATTTCAATAACGCTATAACAAAGAAGCTTTTTGCAGAATATACTCATTTGCACACTGATTCGGTTTTGACGGGAGACTCACCAGGAACCCAACTGAATCTCTCGTTTATGATACTTTCAAGAGGCTTTTATTTTCAAAAGAATGAAGGAAGCACAAAATTCTCTTTGCTGACCTCTACGCCTTTGACTTGCTAACCGGCGAGCCGTCATCTGGAGCAGTTGAACGAGGCGTTGAAGGTCACGCTTTCCAGTGCCAGTCCCATTTTGTTCTTGTTCTTATCCGTGAGAATTTGGACTCATTGGACGTTCGCTGGTTGGGTGGTATTCAATTCTGTTTTCCATATTTGTCTCAGGTGATAGAACTTCGCATTCCACTCCTTGATAGGCTTATGGAGGCGGGAAAGTCAAACAAACACTACAACGGCGAATAAGATTCGCTTCGTAAAATGTTGAGTTGGTTGTTGTCGTTCGTAGCTCTGAGACACAGTTCGGTAGAGAAATAAGTGGGCTCGTAATGGACCAGTGACCTACTGACCAGAATGCCCGTGATCCGAATGCAACTTCGGTATCTCGAATGCTCCTGTCTATGCTCGGACAACTCTTCCCTCCTTCAGGTGGCATGGCCATCGGGCACCGAAAGTGTTGTTACTAAATTATTATTACTGCTATTATTGGAGAAATAAATGTACCTCTGTTTTGAAGCTAAGAAGGAGGCGAGTTAGATATCAGCCGAGGACATCCACGAATACTGGTTGAACTCAGGGAGATGCTGTCAGCTATGCCTTATCCAGATAGGTGATTCCTGAGTTTCGGGCAAACATCTTGAAATGGCGCACGGATTCACAGCCGATTAGGATTCTCCCATCACTTTTTCCCTGTTATCCGAGTGCACATGTTCCAATCGTCTGTATCATCCAAAACGGATATTTGTTTACTCGTACCAAAACTAAGTAGAAGAATTCACCAGCTAGACTCTCATATTGTTCTAGGTTAACATCTAATGATGATAACGTTCCATCCCCTTCGTGTTTGCTTTGACTATCTGAAACTACTGCAATATGACTTTCGTGTTTGCTTTGACTATCTGAAACTACCGCGACCTGTAGGTGCGAATCCCGGGCATTTCGATTCACACCACCAATAGTCCACGTAAAATAACCGGAATATACACCAAAACGCAATCAGTCTCTCACGCAGCCTCTTCTGTGATTTAAAAGCTAGTGTTCCGCAAAGTAGACATTCTCTATTTGGGGGGAAATCCTTTGAAAAGTGGAAGAACTGGGTGGGAATACGGGATATATTTCTTTTGGTTAAGCGCTTTCACACTAACTTTTTTAAGGGAATGACAAGTGGTGCTAAGAGTTTGTGATGCTTTTTTTGCGAACACTCAGGCAATTTCTATTCACCTCCTGTAGTTGGTGACGCCATCAAAGTCAGCATTTTTTATTTCTTCACCTGCTCTGACATATGTTTGTGAAAGTCGTACACGAGGTTGATAAAGTCCAGTGTCTATCCTATCATATTTGCCCTTCTTGGTTTTTTAATTCCCACTGGACAATCTTTGGTCCCTTGGGGACACATCGAATCGCGTGTCGGCTATATTGATAGGCTAGCCAGATTCGCTTTCTGATGTAAGCCTTCAGCGGGACCGAGACGGTCCAAGTGGTTAGAGCGCGAATTTACTGACCGTGGAAGGTCCGTGGTTCGAACCCGACCTCTGTCTCCCGACTTCCCCTGTCTAGGCTTGCGCAACCTGGCAGTATCCCAGCCCTTGTGCAACCTTCGGGTGGTATGGCAGCTAAGCCCCGGAAGGCTGCTACAGCTGAGTGTTTTTTTTTGTAAGCCTTCAACCTAGCCATACCACTCTTTATTGGGGCCTCCTTCATCATGGCTTTGCGGCAACGGAACCCCTCTGGTGCACTTCCATCGATGTCAACCGCCATCAAACTTTTGACTCAGAGCACGGGGCTCTGTGTTACTTTCACTAGCATAGAAGTTCATTTCTCGAATTCTTTGTGTATCTAATTCATTGCGTGTCCATTTCGTTTGTCGTGCCCTTGAGACCTCAATAGAAGCCAAGTGACTTTATCAAATCGTAAACTATTTTTTGGTCCGCTTCCTATTCGTGTGTGGTCAAAACTCGGTCGTTTTCTTATCGTGGATGCAGGTGGACCAATGTTGTCAGATATTTATTATTTTCCCATTGGCTGCGCGGAAGACCGAGTTAGCCTGGTTTAAATGTTCCTCCCGCACACACTTAAATGGGTGGCTGTACTTCGTCACAAACATCCTATTGCCTAAACCGACCCAACTTTATCGCGAAGATTATCTGTTAGCCTTCGCACACTGTGATTACTTTGTGGCACACTCCGCTACGGAAGTAATGATGCCATTACAAATGTTCGACGATGATCGCTTTCCTAGGGGAACCACCCGAACACTGCCAGCCGTCCTGTTAAATCAAACTAAATTTAGAAGGAAAAATGATTGGGGAAGGTCACAAAATTTCAAGCGGTTCTTTGGTTCAAAGCCAGGCTGAAGGTTAGTGACATCAGTCACCCTCAACAGAATAAGATATCACTGTTGGGAGGAATCCTACACCCCAACCGTATGACTGCACTGCAACGGACAGTACACTTGACTCGTGCTGGTGGAATCCGTCCAGTATCGAAGCGAGTTTGGATTAGTCCAACAACCAATCGCATCTCAATGTCCGCTTCACGTCACTTGCAGATGCCACACCCAAAAGAGATTTAACTTTCGAGAACGTTGCTGACGCATGAATTTTAGATGCGGTCAACTTGCACGCAGTTTTTGACCTGTTTTGAATGTGCAATATTCCTTCGTCGTTCTGCCGACATCGTTTGGGAGATCGTACCGGTCTTTGAAGTCGATTTGCACATTAATTTTTCTTGTTCTTACCACCTAATGCAGTCAAATCCGATTTATTTAACCAACATTGCCAAAGAAAATGTTAATTTTTTAAAACACCACTCAGATGGCTAAAGCCTGGTTCTGTCGGGCAAACTGACCATGCGTTTTCCCGAGTTTAACAACCTCATCTGGTTTAACAGCCGATTAATGCAATTCCAATAACTTTACTGAAATTTGTGGTATCCAACTGCCTTTGTGAACACTCACCCGAGGCTGTGAGATCCTCTGGACCACTAATTTTATCGTCTGCTGCATTTGCGTTCAGAAACAGATCGGTTGGTTTGTCCAATCACCAACGGTATGGTTTGGGGACCTACTCAAATTTCATTGGCCGATGTGATGCATCAATTTCTTCCCGGAGGTATCCATGTTTGTCGTTTCGAATTCGACTTGACCGCGAACCACTTGAACACAATTGTTGGACGTAGTGACCTGGACATCGTCGTGTGCAGTCACCTACTATCTGAACCACTTCAAGTATGCCATTGGCCTTCGGATGCGGTGCAGATACGCTTCAACGAATATCTTCTGCGATTGGATCGAAGTTCTGTTGGTGGTGGACAATCGGCACACAAAGTGGCTTGCGTGAAGCAGTTATGTAGACCCGGTAGAAATCAGTTGGAGATTGCCATACTGGGTCTCGGAGAAGATCCGAGCCAGGCAGCCACGATGAACAAGAGGCATACAATGGCCGGTCTCTTGGAAGTAAGTCCCAATTTTATCTTAGCGTAACACTGACAGAAACAGGCGAACTGGGTGTGTTTTCGAACTGGATGAAACAGATAACTTTGGGCGGAAGAAAGCCCTAGTAAAGAATTAGATGAAAATGGAAGGTAAAGACCTACTTCCTAGAAGTCTTAGGTGTTTAGAAAGAAGGAGCAGAAATAGATTTGAAGATCAAGATCAAGATAAGCAAATCTGGATGTCATGTCAAAGTAAGGGGTCGTCAGTGGGATTTACCCAGCATCCTTTGTGAACCTCGCTGGACATAATCCTCACGCACAACGATAGGCGAACTTTGGTTAAGCAGTCCAGCTAGAAGATAACAGTATGCACACCGGTTATGTGCCATGCCCTGCAAGCCTGCTTAGGAAAACGCGAAGGTCCCACAGTATTCAGTATTCGGTTCACATTGCCGCGCCATGGCATGTTCTCCGCTAACCCTTCTCTAACAATAGCTTAAGACAGAAAACAACGCTTTCTCGGGTAGACGGGGGATTGCCGCACGTAGTACGTGCTTACCCACCTCTTATAGGTAAGTTTAAGATGTTAGTTTCAAGATTCTGATTCGTTACTAAGTTCCCGCTTACACACTACTTCGTTGCGTACTCCCTGCAACTTGGTAACGCCTACTATGCGACAGAGGCACCGTCGTATCAAAAGTTTATAGACCATATGGGGTGCATGTTGCTTTACATTGCATAAGGCTGTGACATGACCTTAATTGGCACAATAACCTGAGTCCAGACGATCGATTGAAGGGCACGATGGACTTACTTTGGTGTGCGTCCAGTTTAAAAGTACAGGTGTTGTGCAAGGCTGAGGGGACAAATCCTGTAACTGACCGCGCATGTATTTCCAAATCTGTGGGAATGCTCATGCGACTTCATGCTCACACCTCTGGTAAATTGCCTACATACGTTTTTGCGGCAACTAGTTTAGTCAGTCTCGATTGGATGACTGATTTAGTTTTTTTCCGCCCCATCTTTTGGGTGGGAACATGTGCAAGGGAAATGTACTGAATCGCACTCACCTCACCAGCTCAAGCTGAAGGCCTTTAAAACGGCTCGAGAGGAACCACATTTTGAGTCCTAAGCCCTGCCTTTACCTGTTGTGTTTCTGACATCCCTCTTATGCTGTTTTCTTGTCTGAGGAATCATCGGCCACACATTTCCATGCTATTTATGTTATTCCCTTTATTTCCGCATCCAATTAAGACACATCGCTTTGCGGCATTCATGGCTCACATGCCCGCACTGAATGTTCTCTTGGACGGATTAAAGCGACGGCGACCGGCTGGGGTGAACGCGCTTTGCGACATCCTAGAGGGCCGGGTTGGGTCCCGCAGTGAATCCTCCGGGAGTCTTCCTTCACCTGCCCGTCCCACTCCCGTGGTGGCCGAACTAAACCTGGTCTGTCCCGTATTTCGAACTCGAATGAATGTGCCAGGACGTATCATGGGCTGTGAACACGTCGAAGCGTTCGATATGGAGGCATTTCTTCGTCGAGAGGTCCTTTGGCCACGACTAAACTGTCCGATTTGCAGGTTAGTCCCAACTGAATCTGGTGTTTTTTTTAGTATCCAGTGGTTGCGGATCATCATTGTTAGGTTCTTGGCTAGGATTATTGCACTTTTGTGTCCTTCGATTACAGCCAGCCTCTGACCGTTGACACCATGAGCCTTGCTGTCGCTGGTATCAGTTTTCAGGTTCGGTCAACTTCCAGCGCTTTCATGTCGATGCTCACCGAGGGGCGAAATGGCTCAAGTGGTTAAAACGCGAATTTACCGACCGAAAGGTCCGTGGTTCCAACCCGACTTCCCCTGTTTAGGCTTGGGCAGTATCCCAGCCCTCGTGCTTTTCTCTGTTGGCATTGCAGTTAAGCCAAAGCTGAACGATTTTTTCGCGCAGTTGAGGCCAAGATATAATTTATATGGCCTCAAAGTTAGACAACTATCTCCCTCAGACCAATCCACCACTAAAATTCAATTAAGATATTTTCATTTGGCTTCCCGCCTGTGAACGTGAGAAGTGACAATCACCCCAGATGGCTAGAGGGTTGCAGTTCACCTCGGCCCTTTGGTCGTCAGTTTTTTTCTTTTCAGTCCAGTATCAACGCGCAACCTCTAGATTCACCCTGTTGGTGACCTCATTCGTCAGATGGCTTGTGACTATCGATTCCCGCTGACCCTGGTGTTTAAAACCTTTAGCTTTCAGCCAGTCAATCGAAACATCGTTCACTCTAGAACATCACAACATGTGGTGATCAGGACACTTGGTCAGCAAAGTATAGTATGTATTCTTATTGCGTACGCTACAACTACGTCTAGAACTCAAGGTTTCTGTAGGGCCGAGGAACAACTGCTGAGACGGGTTCTGAGCTCCTTCATTCCTTGGTTGACTTGTGGCTACCAACGGTATCAGTATGAATTACCCCGGGAGACCACTTGGCCTTCTTACCCTAAAGAACGGCCAGCTGAAGCTTATTGAAAAGGATATATATATATATATATATATATATAT